ATAGCTCCTACTAATTTTTGACCTCGGCACTAGATGGTGGTGAGTGGTCAGCATCACGCCCCGGCCGGCTTTACCCCCAGGTACCCACTGAATAGGAGACTGGGTAGGCCCCAGGTCCTGTCTGGACGCAGAGGCTAGAGGAAAATCCTCTGCACCGTCGGGGATCGAACCCCGGTCGTCCAGCCCGTAGCTAATAACTATACTGACTGATCTATCCCGACTTATGAAAAGTTTATAGAGAATGATTAATATAAACATAAATTATACATAGCGTGTACAGATACGTAAAATGTTATCATAATGCTATTAGGTGGTTATAATATCTTTAACGATAGGCCTAATTCTGTTAGTTGGGATTTGTAACATATTTATAAACACTGAATTAAAAAAATGTACAATATAACAGACAGCTATGTCAGGTACAACGGAAATTGGTGCAGTTATTATTACTGTATTTTTAATGATGATATCAGCCACTTCGTCCTCTGTCTGATATGGGTCCTATGTAGCCTATATGACCTCCCCTGACAGCACCACAAAGGACAGGTTTGATTCAAGAAGGAGCTATTGCACAAGAGTGATGGGGGAGACCTCTAGTAAAGTACAGGGCGGGGCTCGAAGATGAGCCGGTTTTCCGCCGACAAGAGATGTGAAATTCGTCATAACTTCGTGCCCCACCCTGTACTAGTTAATTAACCATCAAGAATGACGTGAAATCTAAAGTAATAAACACACGCAGTCATCCCATAAGTCTCAAATCCTTTTAAACAAATAGTCACCAACCAGTACTTACTTTTATACGGACAGATCCATGAATGAAAATTGTAGCAGGGCGGAAACAAGAAATTAATACAAAATTTTAATCCAAAAAATTCAGAGGAAAGAGATAATTTGGGATACATGGCCGTGCAATGAGGACGATATAGAAATTGGGCTTGAAGGTGGGAAATAAATTGAACGCCTCAAGAACAAACAAAAACTTTATTTATCGCCAGCCACATTTTGATGAGGGCAATTAGAAGGATATTTCAATTCGAAACTAACTCCATACGACTAAAACATAATTATGTGCGTTCACAAACAATCTTCTTAATCCTGTCTCATCGGAAAGTTTCAAGACTGGGCGTATAAAAACCCGTACACTTATCTCAGGTATTAAATTCATCCATCACCCTCGAAGTAGTTCCCCTGGGAGTGAACACAACGATCCCAGCGCCGCTGCCAAGCCTGGAAATCTTTCTTTGTCAGCCTGTCAAGCACCCTCTGCGATTCTGCCTGAATCTCTTCTATCGTCTCATATCTCCTTCCCTTTAGCTGAATTTTCATCTTTGGGAAGAGGAAGAGGAAGAAGTCACACGGCGAATAAGGAGGTTGCGGGATGACGGCCATGGTGTTTGAGGCCAAAAACTGCCGAACTTTGAGGGCGGTGTGCGCTGGCGCGTTGTCATGATGCGTCGCATGTGGAGTTCTTCCTTTAGAATCAGCTGACAGGTCCCATAGCCTATCCCAACAATGTCGCACAAGTCGTTGATGGTACGACGTCGATCTTTGTGAATGGCCTGCCGAATCTTCGTAACATTTTCGGGCGTTGTGCTCGAAGATGGTCGTCCAGAACGCTCGTAATCATCGGCAGAAGCTCGTACTACATCCGGTACGCCCTCTATTGACACAGTCTGGAAACTTTCCGATCGCACCTCGTACAACCGGAAGGGGATTGTAATATTTATGTTTGAGAAGACACAAAGTGTGTGTTTGGATATGAGTAATCCGTTGGCGAAAGATTGCATTTTGTTGTCCAGATGTGGGATTCAGAGGTCCTCGTGATTTCTGTCCATCAGTCACTGTTGGACCGCTTGTCTGCTCCAAGACGTTTCAGATCCAACGTTCTGAACCTTTTCTCTTAAACAAGTGGCAATTTCATTCTCCTAAATTTCTCTACGTCCCAACACCCACACCAGTTGTATCGTGTTACATAAAGCCATTTCTATTGTGGAATGCCGGCATGACCAGGTTACAGTTAATCTGGTTTCTCTACGTCTTTCATTTCAATAACAACTTTAAGTCAACGAAAGAAATTGTACAGTAACGTATGCGAAATTATGTAGTAATTACTATAAATGACTAGTTCGCGAGTGTGTAAAGTCTGCTTTAAGCTCGCCTCCGTCTCGATGCTTACAGTGAGGGAGTAAGAGAAAGCACGAAAACGCAGTTGGTTTCAGGGGTGTCCAGACATATCATAAACACGAAGGAAGTCTTTCGTCCTTCATTATATCCCTTGTCCCGTATCTTCCTTCCTTTTTCATGTATGACTCTGTGAAGTTAACTTTGCGTTGCCTTTGTTTTGCAGAGTGTGGTACTCATGCTGGGGGTGTTCGCTACAGCAGGCGTCGTGAACTCTGCGCCGCAGACCGGTCCAGCCAACACGTACCTTCCCCCAGATCAGGGTTACCAGTACAACAGGCCGAGCGTTCCGTTCCCGTCACCAGTACCAGTACCAGGACCCTCAGGACCTCCACCCTCTTTCCATAGACCGTCTCCCGGCACATTCAGGCCCTCACCAACACCAACTTATGGTCCTCCACAAACTGGACCTCAGGGACCTCCACGACCGCCTCCAACATTCGGTGGCGGCCAGGTAACCATTCGTCAGTAGTCAACTTAGAGTGTAATTAAGCTACAAAACAATTACATCTACACCAGTTATAAAATGTATTACGTATCATAACAGTAATACCTTTTTCTGTGGGTATCACGTTTTAATCATGTGAGTTGTGCCACGTCCTCTTAAGGAATAATTTACATCATGCAATTCATAAGCCACTGTGGTCAACTATTATAGACAATTGTCTGCCTTAAAATGTTTCGTAAATTTTTCTTTCTTCTGCCAACGATGCGTTAGTACATATTAGAATAAAACAGAAAGCCTTGAATCAAAACATTGGGAAATCACTCAACAACGACCAGCGTGTAAACACGATGCAACCTCGTATCTGAGTCACAACGCTGCAGGCACTTTTCTGTCAGTACTATACTTTAACATAAAAGGTACAACTTAAATTTTACAGCCGTTGGGCGAATAAGAAATATAACGTACCGTATGCACACAGACAATTATTTAAAATACACAGCAGCTGCATAGTATTGAAAAATGGGTTTCTAGTTTAAAAGTCATTAACTGCCGGTAATTTTTACAAACGCCATCTAAAAGACAAGTTATAACATCCACTGACATAACAATCACGTGTCGATGATCATCTTCTGAGTTGTAATGCCTTGTGGCTTTGTAGGTAGATACTGACTTCCATCTTCAGGGTTGAATGGAGACACATATAGCTCAGGATTCGGTCTAGTATTAGTCATTTTCGGGTTTCATAAAAGACGGGGACCTTCTTAAACTGATAGACTAGCAGATTTTCAAGAATGGATCTCTCCCATGGAGACAGTTTTAGTAACATCACAAAGCCCACTCCTAATACCTCTTCTATGATTGCTGTAGATCCTATATTGATCATACACTTAGAACAGTTAAGACCACGTTGCATCCAGGTAGTAACTTTAGTTATCTCGTTTGGCTTGTGGAAAGGGCAACAAAGAAACCGAAGAAGGCGATGCCAATGCAATAAGCTAATAGTATGAGCAGATACCTCAACTCTAAGTAGCCTGAGGAGCTTTTGACCCTCACGAGATACTGACAATTATAAAACAGATTGACTTCCTGACATTATATCCACACACGAGACCTTAGAATTTGAAATCTCATAAATTATTACACCCAAGCAATCTGAAACTTTCATTCGCTAAGAGCTAAATTACAAACATTACGAAGATGTGGAATTCAACGAATGATGTACTTGCCCAACAAACATTCTAAAACCGGAAGTCATATTTGCAATTCAGAGCTAACGAGGAACCAACGTAGCTGTCGGCTGTGGTTTTATAATGAGATTGAATTTCGATTTTCAATCTGCGGCCATCAAATTACTCTCGGACATACATCGTACTTTCAGTTTCCAACAGTGTGATTGCTACGATAATGGCTGTACTTTAAGCTGCGTTACAGCGCGGTCAGGCGTTACAAAATGGGGCTGGCCGAGTATTCATTGGCTCTATGCATTCGCGTGTGAATCCACTTTGCACTTAACATGACGAAAGTGCTTCTCTGTTTTACTGGAGAAATGTCACGATATTCAGAATGTACAATCTTTTGCACGTAAAAATGATCCCAGTATTTACTACAATAAAAAGAGCAGTTAAAGTTTTAATTCTCTGGTAATTTTATATTCGTTAAAATTATATAGTTACGTAAATTTAATTAAAGACATTAAAGAGCGTTATGAAAGGCAGTCACTTTTTATTCCTCGTTGGAACAAAACTAACGTAATTTGCAGACAAACGTACACGTAACAAAATATGTGTTCTTAATTCAAAGATTATAAACTTATTTAACCAAGTAAACAGATGAAAATAAACTCAGTCCACCACTTGTCGTATACAAACAATATTTATACCTATTTAACATCGAATTAGTGCGCTGAACCTCAGCATAAAGGGTTCAATTTTAATGTAAATTGACCCAAAAGCGTCTGATTTAGAATTCACATTAATCAAAGTTGCTCTGCTGTTTGATTAGCATCCATTCTACCCCATGTTTAAAATAAACTTTATAATGTAATAAATGTTCTAAAATGTGTATGTACAAAATAACATTTCTGTTTGATAGATCCTCGTTTTAGTTGACAAAGACGACTTATTATCGTTGTGAGAATTTTTAGGACACAAGAAAACAGATGATGCAGAAATACCTAAGTACAAGTTTCCAAATAGGAATATAATGGTGGCTGTTTATTATTCATGAATGTAACTGCACCTCTCGCAATTCTTCAATAAAATTAAATTACAGTAATTTATCGATTCGTCCCTTCTCTAACAACTTAAGTACAGAAAGCTTACAGAAGCCCCTTATTTTACTGAACGTTTGTACGAAAGCATCACTTATTTCTACACAGTTACACACGTAATAACACGTGTGCCTCATACATTTTATACATGGGGAGCTCATAGTTATTTTTAAAGTCTTACGTCTTTGGTATTCTGGTCATTGTGTTCTTGCTGCATCTGTGAAAAGTACATTATGTTACAAAATAAGACAGTGAAGAGTAACCTATTTCTCAGTCTGTCTCGTGACTTAGTTTTCATACAATGGAATACGACGGTCGGTTTACTTCAATGATTGTCTTTCGCTGCATCTCAAGTACGTCCATGAAAAGTTCATGTGCATTTTTCATTTTCTGTGACACAAGTACTTATGCATGAAGGATACACTTCTAACAGAGGAGTACTTGATTACTGGGGATGGAAAGGCGGGACTATGGTAACAAAGAAAGTCAAGACAGTATGGACACGGTGTGCGACAGTATAATTCATAGGTAGGCCTATTAAATGACGCTCCTCTTTTGTAGAGATTATGCAACGTAGACGAGATGTGAGGACAATTAATTTCTGTGAACTAAGACAGAAGACGAAAAAGCTGTCATGGTATAATTTAACAGTTAAAATGACTGCAATAATATTCAAAATACTTCGAAGGCTGTAGCTCTTCAACCTTTTCGGGTGACGTTCTTAAATGTTATTGGATGAAAGTCGATATATTTTGTAAGATTTGAGGTTTTCACAGAGGTGAGTATGAAGATTTCTGTCTTCTGCGTTGTTGCGCTGTGTAGACTGGTCGATGCTAACTAACGTTTCAGAGGTCATACTGCCCTGATGACGGAGGCAGTGTGACCTCTGAAACGTTGGTTAACATCGACCAGTCTACACAGCGCAACAACCCAGAAGACAGAAATCTTCGATATATTTTGTTTGCTGGAAAACAGATAGTGTTCTACATACGTTAATTTTGCTAAATTTATTTTGAAACCCCCAAATTAATTTCTTGTGTGGATTTTCAGAAAACATCAATTATTATGTATAGATTAAGGCAGTGTATCTTTATTGGCTGGATGGTCCGACGACTGTAACAGTAAATCCATTCAGTTTTATTCACTATATCACTCGCCTGAACGTAGTGGTTGGTACAAAAATCAATCTCTACAACCTTATATCTTTTCTTTCACAAATCTCAATTAATTTTTCCCTCTTCACTAATTAATAAATAGTTATAATTTAGGTGACGCATTATTCAAATGTATCAGACGATTGTGTCTGCAGAATCTGGGCGACGAACATCTTCATGATCATCACGTACCTGGCATGCCTTACGATTTCAACTACGCCGTTAAGGACGATTATTATGGAACAGATTACTCGCATAACGCCATTAGCGACGGAGATGTTGTGAAGGGCGAATACCGAGTTCTACTGCCAGATGGGCGTCTGCAGATTGTGCGGTATACCGCCGACTGGAAGACTGGATTCCATGCCGATGTCTCGTATGAGGGCCAGGCTTCCTATCCCGATACTAATCGTCCAGCATACAATTACCCTGGACCCAGCAGTAGCATCGGTGGGAGTGGTCCGTCAGCTACGTACGGCCCACCTGGGACATCCAGCCCAGGCTATTAGATCCAACGCTTTCTGCATCATTCATTCAGCAACAACAACGTCATGGTTTTGTTCGCTACACCCACACTTCATTAAATTGCCTAAGACATAATTTAAACGTAGATGTTTTGTTCTCATTTCGACTGACTCGGATTCTGACTGTCAGTGGAAAAACTGAGGTGATTTATACGACATGGTCTGATACTAGCCCCTAACATGACTAATGGTACCAATATGTATTCATCTTGGAAACAGAATTCTGAGATGATTTACTTACTCCAAAACATCCCCAAGTTGTTCTACATTATTTAAATTAAATAATTTGATTCGCTATATTTATTTTGTGTGGTACAAAAATCAAAATATTAATATGGATCATGTCTCTAAAAAGTACCATTACTTACCAACAATACGTCTCTCACAAACGATGTTCAGTTGTCTTCGATGAGTATGTTAAAGGCGACATTTTAATTTTGTATTTCTACCTCTTTGAAGTATAGATAAACTTTACAAAGGGCCGATGGCTAAAGTTTCTTAAGGATTTTATCACCGCTAACTTGTTAACAGTTCCTCCACTTGAACGAAGGTCTTCAGTTTGTAAAATTAAACCTGTTGCCATCGTCTTCTTACTTAGATAACGGATATATTTAACGACCACGTTATTCCAACGCTTATAAATTGACATTTTGGTCTTCACGGAAGTTTTAGTGTGATTCTGTTAGTACAACTTTAAGGCAGCATGATATCGATTTTAATGTGTTATTAAATATGTATTCTTCCTACATTCTACAAATGCCAGATTCTTACTAACGTAATACATAAGAATAAAACCTAATTACCATATAAACTTGAAACACAGAGAGGTATGCGTAGTATCATGTATGCACTAACACGAATACTCCAATCAGTATTCAGAAATTATTTGAAATATAGGCTTAGAAAACTGACGTATTCATTTTATATTACAATTAATGGTATCATGCAACCTTGATAAATCTAAAGTCTTCCGGGAGACGTCATACATGTATAATTAATAAGTATATATTTTGTGTCAAATAAAACAAAAAAATTCCCTACGGATTTATCATCAAAGTGGGAGTGAAACTGTATCCGGCAGATGTCATGCACATCGACTAGAATGCCTTTCTATATCGTTGTACAGTATGAGTGTGACTATTTTTGTATGTGTGTTTAGTATTATTATACAAATGTAATTTCTGTTGTAAACTCAAAATATACCTTCGACACTTCAAGCAAATAAAAAGTGTAAACTAAAATTGTTTTACACATAACCACCCGCTTAATAATATTTTGTTAAAAACTGTATCAAAATGCCGAGCTGTTCTGACCTAAAACAATATTAACACTTTGCATTTCTGTCGTCTCTTATTTCAAATATTGCATCTATTCTTGAAATTAATCATCAACTTACCACTCACTCAAAAGAGCTACAGAAATAGAGACACGCAGACGCCGAGTACTTACGCTGTAGCCTTACAAAACTGTCCCCCTTCTCATATGCGTGCACATTCAAAGTTGGTACAAATGGACAGAGTATCAAAATATCTCGGTGTTTAACAGAAAATCTGTAATTTTGCCGTTGAATGTTGAGTACACCACTCTTCTAAGAATACTTCTATTCGTGATGTAGGGTCACCTCATTGAAGAAATGTAGTATAGTATATGTGGGGGCGATCATGAGTTCTAACATTTATCAGTGTCAGAATGTGCAACATTTAAAAGCAACTAGCTACGAGGCTCGTCCACAAAGTAAGTTTCCCTGGGGCCGTTTACAGAAACAAAACACAATTTCATGGAAATATTTATTGCAACAGATACAAGTGTCCAGCTATTTTTCAACATATTCGCCACCGGAATTGAGACATTGGTCATACCGTGGGACCAACTTTTGAATACCTGTGTCGTAGAAGTCTGCCGCCTGGGATGGGATCAAAAACTTTATCACTGACCGCACTTCACAGTCGGCGGGAGCTGGAATAAGAACCTCCATCTTCAACAGCTTCCACGATGCTACTGTGAGAACGCGGGAAGTACCGTTAGTGCATGCGCCATGCTACGTCATTGCTCTATCACGTACGCACAGTCGCTTCGCGCAATATAAGGTTTGCTAGCTGTGGGACGAGTGGGAAACTTACTTTGTGGACGCGCCTCGTACAACGCTAAATATCTTTATTATGCAGTTGAAGTTAGTCTTCCAGCGTTGCAATTGGCTTTAAAAGAAAGGGGGGGAAAGCATTACGTCAGAAATGGTAAGATACGACGAATGTGGGCTCACAGAAACAGCGAGTAATATTTCTTTACGTGCAGGTAAGTCTGACCATGAAATTTTTAAATTGCTATCAACTGTTCTCGTTGACTCAACATAATTTACGAAGCTACGTCATAGGGTCAATTTTCATCGCTGGTCCAATTTTCGCTAGACAGCTAGACAAAATCCATCGATTCAATCACGTAAAAGGAGATGATGTGGCTTAAAGCATTTTATACTCTACTCCATTGTGCGATGTGAAAAAGACTTCTAAACTTTAAAGAAATTAGAACAAATGAAGAACACAATTAGAAGGCCAGAGGGCATGCCGCATCTGATGACGCTGTGCGAAAATTTAATTTTAAGAGAGAGTGAAAGGTGTTCTGCTACTGAAATAATAAGCTTTGATTTAGCAATGTGGGACATAATCCCACAGTTCTGTTCAGTAGCGAACCTAATGGAAGGTTTTTGCTACACGCTATGAACCTGGTCTTACCACACAAAGTGTCCTGTAATTCAGATGTCTGTGACCCCAAGTATCATAGGATGTATCAAAACGTCCTACACAGCGTACAGTCTACAATTCCAAACAACACGAAAATGAAGGAAAATAAAACAAAACATGACAATTGACTTAGCCCGTTTTAAATTTATTTTTGTATAGCCATATACACATGTGTTAAATGGAGTCAATATGTGAACCAGCCAACCTCATATTAATCCCCATGTGCATGAGAGCTTATAGAACGAAAGTCTAACAGTTCACTTACAGAGAATTTATAACAAAGACGTGTTCCAGCAACTTCAAGGCAATTATAATATTTCACGTGTCACTAGCCGTGCATAATATAAACCAAGACAAACATTTTATTGAAAATTATATCAGACCTTAAAAGTAACGAATATACATAAAAATCAAAGCTTATTTCAACATTACAACTCTTTTTTCCCGGTTAATTATCATCGTAAGACTTTACCATCAATTATTATTACGCTGAATTGACCGTGAACTAAAACTGATATGATAATGTCACACAGATTCTTATAGATCAGCAGATAGAACCGTTTGAACGATAATCGATAGTGATCGAAGTTCTTATGGACTGCCATTACTCGTTCTCCCCATTTATTTTACTTTATGAAAGCATTCACGAATTGAAAATCAAGACACAGTAACAAATCAAACGCGCAGGAATTGTTACGCAATGCGTACAATGCCGGACTTGTTCCTTTACGCGGAGTTTTACATTTCAGGAAAGTTTCTACCGTGTAAACGAGAAAATTACTGTATTTGGTTATAATACCTTGGGAGTGACTTGGAAACTAGATTATGGAACATTGCTATGCAAATTTGGTCTCTGGCTGGACCTCAGGGTGTAGATGGAAGTTGAGAATGAGCTCACTTCTGAGGATCAGAGAAGCCTCTTGCTCTCTCTGTCGGGCCAGGTGTGAACTGTAGATGAACCTCTGATGTATTCTGTGCTGCTCTCTGTAAAACTCGTCGAAACCTAACGAGCAAAACGTGTTCTATGAAGCAATTTCTACCAGACAATTCCCAGAAGCTCTGGGTTGTGGTTGTATTTTATCGTTCCACAGCAAGTAAGCCTGCTTTACGAAACAAGTGACGTAATTTTTAATTAATGTTTAATATCGCACGAAATTTAACGTTTAATTTGATTACAATAAAGTATAACAAATAGTTTACAAATTAATTTGGGTGTCGGAAGGTAAGTTAACACTTCCCACTATCGTAGAAGAAATTGTGAATGAATGAATTTGCCTAGAACCTACAATATTTATCATCAGTCAATCAGATTTCTCAAGAAAACACAGTTAACAAATTCTATTTCACAATGTTCAGTTTCTGTCAAGCATCATACTTACAACGCTAAATTATAATTCATATTCTTTGAATATTTGCATATTCTACCTGCGACAAGTTAAAATCAATAAACGTGGACAATAAACAATTTGATGTCAACAATTAAATAATGAACTTTAAGAGAAAATTCTGAAAATAATGCACTGTACGATTTAATGGGAATATATTTACCTTAAGAGCAAGCCAGTCAACATAAAAATCAAAGCTTATTTCAACATTACAACTCTTTTTTCCCGGTTAATTATCATCGTAAGACTTTACCATCAATTATTATTACGCTGAATTGACCGTGAACTAAAACTGATATGATAATGTCACACAGATTCTTATAGATCAGCAGATAGAACCGTTTGAACGATAATCGATAGTGATCGAAGTTCTTATGGACTGCCATTACTCGTTCTCCCCATTTATTTTACTTTATGAAAGCATTCACGAATTGAAAATCAAGACACAGTAACAAATCAAACGCGCAGGAATTGTTACGCAATGCGTACAATGCCGAACTTGTTCCTTTACGCGGCGTTTTACTTTTCAGGAACGTTTCTACCGTGTAAACGAGAAAATTACGACTTGTTCCTTTACGCGGAGTTTTACATTTCAGGAAAGTTTCTACCGTGTAAACGAGAAAATTACTGTATTTGGTTATAATACCTTGGGAGTGACTTGGAAACTAGATTATGGAACATTGCTATGCAAATTTGGTCTCTGGCTGGACCTCAGGGTGTAGATGGAAGTTGAGAATGAGCTCACTTCTGAGGATCAGAGAAGCCTCTTGCTCTCTCTGTCGGGCCAGGTGTGAACTGTAGATGAACCTCTGATGTATTCTGTGCTGCTCTCTGTAAAACTCGTCGAAACCTAACGAGCAAAACGTGTTCTATGAAGCAATTTCTACCAGACAATTCCCAGAAGCTCTGGGTTGTGGTTGTATTTTATCGTTCCACAGCAAGTAAGCCTGCTTTACGAAACAAGTGACGTAATTTTTAATTAATGTTTAATATCGCACGAAATTTAACGTTTAATTTGATTACAATAAAGTATAACAAATAGTTTACAAATTAATTTGGGTGTCGGAAGGTAAGTTAACACTTCCCACTATCGTAGAAGAAATTGTGAATGAATGAATTTGCCTAGAACCTACAATATTTATCATCAGTCAATCAGATTTCTCAAGAAAACACAGTTAACAAATTCTATTTCACAATGTTCAGTTTCTGTCAAGCATCATACTTACAACGCTAAATTATAATTCATATTCTTTGAATATTTGCATATTCTACCTGCGACAAGTTAAAATCAATAAACGTGGACAATAAACAATTTGATGTCAACAATTAAATAATGAACTTTAAGAGAAAATTCTGAAAATAATGCACTGTACGATTTAATGGGAATATATCTCCTTTAGAGCAAGCCAGTCAAACTTTTAATTTCTTACCTTAAGAGCAAGCCAGTCAAACTTTTAATTTCATTTTAAGATAATTCAAGTCCATTAAATGTCACGGAAAATAAAACTAAGTGCTAGCATGTCCGTCTGTTGATCGGAATATAATTTGGAAGTTGTAATAATTTATTTGTTTTCAAACATGGGGGAAATTAAAAGTTTGAAACACTCTACTGTAATGAACATTGAGCATAAGGCATTTGGATAAAGTTCTGAAAATTTCACCCAATTTATATTTAATTTAAAACACAGGGAACAGAAAACTGAAACACCATGTCACATACCAATAAATCAATTCGACAAACTGTTCAACACCTTCATTAAAACTTAACGTACTTATATTATTAATGTTAGTTGATTGTAGTTTAGAACGACATAAAGTACCTACTAACGCCGTTTAACTATTCTCAATGACGTATAATATTTTTCCGTGTACACAGAAGGGCTTTCATTTAATTTAATGAATAGAAGTCTATTTTACTTCAAGTGTTGTAATTAAAATATACATTTGTTATCTCCCCATCCATGCTACATGACTTGCTCATCACATCCTACGTAATATTAGTTTATTATATTATTTGAACTATTTTCACTTTATTTTCGTTTTTGCGGCTGAATTTACAGCATCCGAAATTGCATATAACTTAAATGTGACAGAAATAAACACAGAAGGTTTAAGAATTGGGGCTGATATGTATTACATCTGATA